TTGTGAAAACCGAAAATGGAACATGTAACAAATTAAGAAAGATTTTGAACGTTAATAACTCAGCTGCCCCTGGTCCAATTTCAATAATTTTATCACCAATCGATCAGAAATATGGATACGCATTGATAAAAATACTTTCGACTGTTGATTTTTAACAAGAAACTATTGAAAAACTGCTAAATGTCCAGCATTGTCCAAAAGCGTCGAATTAACTAACAAATCCACCAATTACCTACATGCATATGCTGCTTCCCCCTCGGCTTCCCCCATCACAGTCGTCAGAGAGTAGTAATTAGACGAAACAAGTCGAAGTGGCATTCGCCTCCGATCCTCGGGCGCGTGTGAATAGGGAGGATGGAATTGCATAATATTTTGCACACTCATCGCCATATTCAGAACCAAACTCAAATTCTTCGAGATAACCACCATCCGTCGTCTGGCTCGCCGTTGCGGTGTCTGACGTATTTCCGGTCTGATTTACGAGGTGTGCTGAAAAATGAGATCCGTGATGCTGTCACCTACACCAAACACGCCAAGCGTAAGCGGCCATGGATGTCATCTACGTTTTAAAGTGACAGAGACGCACTCTGTTTGGTTTCGGAGGTTAAATCATCACCAACTTTGGCAACAAAACGGCTCCAAGCTTATTACAGTAAAGAGTAGGAATAGAATTCATCTGCCTGTTTGTTCATATTCAGAACCAACGACCACGCAAAATGCTCATGTAATCAAACTGGAAGCAGGGGGTACAAATTATTTTGATCAACCTTGATCAACTTTGAATCGCCACAGCCGGATATTTTCGATGGAAGAAGCAACGGCAGGAAACATTTGTGAAGCCGAGTTATTTACGAAAGAGAGTGTCGATGAAGAGAATCGATCAATGTAGATAGGACCTATTGAAAAGTGACGCGAGATTAGTTTTCCGTACTGAGCTTCAATGCTACCAACGCCAGGGAGGCAGCTCCCACACCTGGACCCTACCAATCGACCCATCAACTCAACCAGGGACCAACGGCTTTACTTCCCGAAGTAAGGCGTGATCAGAGATGTTATGCTTTAGAACATGCCGGTGGCGCTGACTGAGATTGGACCCAGGCCTGCTGGGGTGAGAGGTAATCACGCTAACCACCGGCGCCGATATCTTTCAAGGTGATATCACGGCGAATAAGATCGACCCAAATTTGAGTTTAGTTATCTCAGAAATAAGAAATAAAGTGCAGGAACTCAGCGATGAGTAAATTTGCCTCATGTTTTCCCAGGATTTTTCAGGGAAAAATTCCCGAATTTGAGAAAAGTAAAGATTGGATTCACTCAGTCTATTGGTACTACTCCGAGACTGAAATTTTTTTTCGTCAATTTCCTCATTTACTGGCAGATTTTTTAGGTTTTCCACAGAGTACCATGAGACAAATTTACTCGTCGCTGAGTTCCTGCACTTTTGGCGATTATGAGTGAACTAAACTCAAATTTGGGTCGTTCTCATTCGCCGTGTACGCAATAGGAAAAGAGCCAGTGTCGCTACTTGATAACAAACTACTCATAATGGGAGGAGTCTTTGTAGCTTTTATACCACTTGGTTGCACATCATTCTGCTTTAACCTGAAAAGATATAAAAGAGCGCTGCTGTATGGCATTAGCTCATTTTCGCTTCGGACGGCGTGGTGAACAGCAATAGCAGCAGTAGGAAGGTGGTGGCTAGTCCACTCCTTCACACCTAACAAGCAACAATTGACTGGTCGTGGCAAAGGAGGAAAAGGTCTACTAAAGGAGGCGCCAAGCGTCATCGCAAAGTTCTCCGAGATAAACGCCATCGGTCGTCTGGCTCGCCGTGGTGGTGTCAAACGTATCTCCGAGGTGTGCTGAAGGTGTTCCTGGAAAATGAGGTCCGTGATGCTGTCCACCCACACTAAACACGCCAAGCGTAAGTGGCCATGGATGTCCTCTTCAATAAAACGGCCCTTTTCAGGGCCATCAAGCTTACATCAGTAAAGAGTTGGAATAGAATTTATCTGTGCTTGTTTGTCCATATTCAGAACCACAAGCCCCCAACGACCGCATAAAATGCTCTCCAGAGTTGGAATCTTGTAACCAAACTTGGAAGCAGGGGTGTAAGTCATTTTGATTGATTCTCTTAATCAACTTTCTCTTTGAAAAAAATACTACAAATTTGGTACGCCTACAATTCAAAAACGGAAAGAGTTGAGATAATGGATAATTGATCAATTAAAAGAACTAAATGTTCTTCACATTTATTCCGTCGACTAGCGGTCCTACGTCAAGCTTCCGTTCGTGCCCCTAGGCACAGACCCTTCAGTGTTTTTTCTTCCACTTTGGAATCAGCCGAATCAGAACGGCTGCTTCTCGACGGAGACCGCGATCCAGAGTTTGATCGAGTTGATTTTTCAGGGTGGATTTGACCTATTAGGGATACAATTTCCTCTTTTAGTCTAGAAATGTTTATAATACTATTTGAGTAGTAACTTACCGGAGAATGTGACCTAGAGCCAGGTCAACTTCTGGACTTAGTGGGATATCCTTTTTGCAGTCTGTTCGTTGGAGTTCCACTGATTTTGTAGTAGCTGAAACAGCGATTTGGTAATATCATAGAGGTAACTTCAGACCAGCAGGTCCCGAAGAAACTCGCTCAACTATTTGGCTCAGCTCTGGTACTCTCTTCGGTCCCAAGCTAATCGATGCACCCCTCGAAACATAGGAAAATCCACGAACCCCTTATTTTATCTGTCAAACTTTCATAGCGAATCAAAACAAACATAGTGTAGTACCTGAGTACTGCGAACTAACTCAAAATGTTTGTCATCTGGGAGCCAAGTCAAACTGTCAAACGGGAGCGAAACATCAACCTTAGTAGGCGGATAATGTAAATCATCGAGCGTGATGCTCGAAAAAGTGGTTTTATTTGATTTTAATAATGCCAAAATTTGGTTGCTGAAACAAGAATGTTATCAAACTTTATAAGAGTCATGTGAGCTTTGTGGGCAGGTGCACTCCCATCACCATGTATACGTTATTTCTGGAGCAGAGGAGGAGGAGCCAAGAGTTCATTTGACAGCATGTATATACAATTTCGTGAGCTTTTTCAGCAAAACAATTTGAAACTTCGGAAGATTTTCAAGATGTTTTCTAGCTCACTTGAAAAATAAAATCGGCTGAGTTCGCAGTACTCAGTGTAGTACTAGCATTTCGACTAGAATGGGGTACGTTAATCGATTTTCTTGGGACCAATAGAGATTTTCACGATTGGTTGTATTGGTGCGCTGTGTGAAACTGTTTTAGTGAACATCCGAGGAAAATACATAACAAACCACTGTCAAACTCATTTTGACAGATCGAATTACATACATTTTGAGGTTAACCCGCATAAGCACGAACCATAAATTGACCTTACCTAAAATGATTAAAATTGTTTATAATCCCTGCTAAACTTCAACTGAAATGGTTATGGAACTTTACATGAACGTTTAATGATAAAGTTTTAACCTTAAGTATTATAGTTTTTTGGAAGTGGACCTTACAAAAAATGGGTTGTTAAGAACCATTACCATTCAAAATTCTTGTTTTCTCCATACATTTTCGGAAAGAAAACTATACTAAAACCTTTTAACTTATGGTTATCGGTAAGGTCATGTGATGGTTCGCGTTTATGCGGGAACCCGAGGAAAATAATAAACAACTTTACACGGCGATAGACCCCCATTAGTGTACGTGCGTTAAACGTCACTAATCTTTATAGGCAAGTAGTGAGTCAATTTAAAATCGTTAGTTTCCACCGGTTGGCAATATCCCGGACGAATTACGCGTTGCACATCGTTGGAGTGACTTGATGAAAAACAAATACACATACACTGATAAAATTTCAAAGATTGTTTTTATGTGTCCCACACATGAATTTTTGTAATGTGATCAACAAATGATATATATGTGTCGGACACATACTTAATTTGTGCACACATAAAAGCTATGTGTAACCACACATACTATTCATTTGACTCATAAATTTCATGTGTGCTTCTGGGTGGATTCTGTTTATGTCTGGTCACATGAAAATCATGTGGAATTTCACATAGATATTCGTCAATAAAAATGTGTGGAATTTTATTAGTGTACGAAGTTTTGTGATTGTTGATGATGTGTGCGCTGCACTAACCATATTTCCCCATATAATTTATGTTCTTGATCAGACTGTCCAACTGTGGTTTCTCGTGGGGTTTCATAAGGAAGTGTTGGTTCGACGTGCCGATTTGCTTCACAACTGATTTATTTTTTTGAATGCATAACAAACTGCATTTTGTTTTTTTTTTTTTTTTCATTGTATACTAGGAACTAATTACACGCCTTTATTCAGATTTAGTATAGTTTTTAAAGAAATTTTAATCGGATCAATGTATAAACATTGCTTAATCATAAAATCAGTGCTAACATTTGAAAACGGCACAAAAGCCATTTGTAAACAAATGGTTTGTGGGCCCTTTACTCGCTACCCGAAGAACGCCCACGCAAACCAACAGCATCGTCAGGAAGGGGAAAATTTCCCCTACCCGATGTTGCTGTTGTGTCGCGTGGGTGTACTTCAAGTAGTGAGTGAAGGGCCCACAAACCATTTGTTTACAAATGGCTTTTGAGCCGTTTTCAAATGTTAGCACTGAAATGATTAAATCTTAATCTATCTTTGTTAAGTAATATTTTTGGGTGTACTCGGGGTTCTTGGAGCGCGTTCACTAATTTTCTTTTTCAAGCCACTTTTCTTTTGACAACGACGTTTGTTTTCGCGCGCGATCAAAACATTTCACGCACACTTACACAATCTGCATGCGAGTGTGTAGGTGAACCACAGTAGTAAACACACAGGTATTCGATCGGGTTTCTTCGTGTTCATTCAAAAAAGCACAACAGTCGAGAAGAGAATCTGCGCAAGTTTGGACGTGTGTTTTTGTTGAATGTGTTGCGCAGCGCAGCAGAGTGTTGTTCTACCGAAAGCAAGCCGATCACGCGCGTTCAGTTGTGTGCGGTCGGACGGACGAAGAAGCCAAGAAGCGAAAACTTCAGTCGAATGTTGTGTGTGGTTTAAAAAAAATTAAATGGATGCCAGCAGCAAGAGCGTCTTTTTGTTCGAATTTGTGTCGCCGTCGTCGCGCTTTGTGCAGTCCCTCGGAAATTGTGCTCAGTGAGAAATAATTATCGTTGCGGGTGTGAAGAGATTTTCAATCGATTGGAAATTGATTTTCTTTTGTGTAGTGGAATTTTGTTTCCCAGTCCTTCATATTGAGGGAAGTAGTTTACGTTGAACGCGAAAAAGTAAATAACCCAGTGTAGAAAAATGGATACGCCGAAGCGAATTAAAACCATTTCCTCACCGTACATCGGCAGTCCTCCGTCAGCCAGTAATCAAGCGATGTTCGGTTCGCTTACGGCAGCGGCAACCGTAACACCCGGTGATAGTAAACATCTTTATCACCAGTGGAACTCCGGTTGGCCACCGTCATCACACGAATCACTAACCAGTCCGGCATCGACCTGCAGCTCGCCGGATGTAATCATGGCGAAAACCCTAACGGGAACACCTACCACCCATGGTAACAGTTGGAAACATCATTCCAGTGGTGGCAGCTCGGCGGAGAAGTCCGAGAACAAACGGGGCCGGCCGAGATCGGAAGCCCTTACCATTCTGATGGTGGAGGGCTCGATATCTCCATCGGCCATTAAGTGCCGCTACTGTAATCGCGTTTTCCCGAGGGAAAAATCCCTCCAGGCTCATCTCCGGACGCACACAGGTAGGACCATGCTAATTTTCCATTATATGCATTTTTTTTTCTGGTTAAATGCTCAAAAACCTTCCCGCACGAAGGCTCCTCAGGCAGAGAACAAAAGCTGCGCTGCTGGAACTGGAAGCAGCCGTCGCAGGTTTTAAACAACACCTGCTTCGGTGAAAACCAGAGGGGCCCCAATTTTTGGAATTATTTGCCTCTTTTTCTCCTGCTCCTCCTTTTAGGCTTCTTTCTACATTCGTTTCAAACTGATGATGCTCTGCGGTTGTTGCGTTGTTGGTTCCTTCTTTGTGTTTCCTCTTTCGGTGGTCATCATTCGATGGCCGGTAGGAGCAGGAGTAAGAAGATGGATTTTTTTTTTGGTTGGCTCTGGGATCGTCTATGGGCGAGCCTTTCGATCTCAGGAACCTGTTGCAGAAAGAATCGATTTATGTATTTAATTGAATTGTTTTCATTTTGGGACCTACCTTGGCTCAGTCATTTAAGACGACGAAGGTATAAATCAAAACCGTAATAAAGGCGGGTGGGTTCGATTCCCGATCCGGTCGAGGGCATTTTTCCGACTTTCCTGGGCATTGAGCCTCTTTGTGCTTGCCGCACAACATACGAATCAATGGTACAGGATAAGTAGTTGAAGGCAGGAGCAAAGTTGCAGTTTAAACGTAATAGTCACGAAGAAGAGTTACTTTATTTGTAGATTAATTTGTACTCAAATGATAATCACTGGTGACTCTTTAGGAATATAAAACTACACAATTGCACTGCACACTATCGACTTGTTGAACAGCTCAGATATGGTAGAATTTGTAACATCCTAAGTTTTTAAATGGTCAGTCATATCATATACTAGAATCTGGTTGAGCCACCCGCGAAATCAAATAGTTAGAGAGAAGTATGTCACCAAAAAACTAGTAAAATTTTCAACAATATAAATTTCTTTACAACAATATTTTAAGAAAATTTCAGCATCAAAGCTCTTATCTTAAAATCTGAAATCTCAAATAAATTAACCTTAAATCTCAAATACATTATTCTGAACGCTGTGTGAACGTGTTTCGGAACCTCTCTAAATTAGGCTTTTATGGATCTTACCAAATATTTGAACATGGTGCAATATTTCAAGATTTTTATTTTATTTGAGAGACGTTCAGCCTGAGGCTGGTTCGTCTCTTTTAAAAAAGCCTGGGGACTCCAGAATTCAATTCGACCTTCGTATCAACGAAGTTATCGATGGTAACAGGTTCTTGGGCAATTATGGTATTTTGTATCATTCTCCCAGTTCTAGTGAGCTGCGTTTTGTTGAAGTTTTAGAGAACTGTCTCAAGGCATTCCTTGGTTCTAGTAAATTAAATATATTAGCTGGTAATTTTAATATTAATTGACGTGACAATTAAAAGGAAATAAACCAACACACTCAAAGCTCTTCATAAAGGGATTCCGTTGAGAGGGTCGACAAATTTAAAGAGTGACAACTATAATTCGAATCATTTGAAGCATTTAGCTGATTTTTTCGATTTAAAACAAACGGTAGATGAATATGCGCGTATTTCCAGGCGCAGTAGTTTATTCCGATTTTGATTTTATTTGTTCAGTTACGGATACTGATTTGAAAATAACCTGAGACCTTAGTAATTAATGCATTAGATAATATTAATAATAACGATGACTAAGTGAAATTGAAATGCTGGAGGAAATATTCGAAACAAGCTTTTTCGAATCTTGTTGAGAAAAGCGTGGATTTTCCATTCGCGGCCGGTAATTTTGATGAATTTACAGTTGTTTGCACTAACGCTTTGAAAACGTGTACCAATCAATTAGTTGAGCAATAGTTTGTTGCTTTGAAAAAATCGAACAACTGGTACAATTTAGATCTTTTGTGCCTTAAACGTAAGTGGGACAAATGGTACAAAAAGTGGTGTACGTTAAAAAAAAAAAACTCGTTCTGAATATGTCCAGAGGAAGATTGATCTGCATCAAAACAATAGCAAAGAGTTGTGGAAAATTTTGAAATCTTGCAATCTAGTACATAATGCAAACCGCGGTCCATAACTTTTAATGGCACATTAGAACAGTCGGAACATGTAATTTCATCTAAATTTAATGATTAATTTGTCAACAGTGTTTCACTGATTAATCAATCTATTGATAAACCCTACGAAATAAAGTAGCCAATTGATAGTAGTTAAAGATTTGAAGCTTTTCACCCAATTACATTTGATGAACTTGGAGTTATTTGTTTTTCATTAGGAAAATCGCTAGAGTTATTCAATATTGCTTTCATGTCATTGGCCACATCTTCAAGGAAATCTTAGTGGTTCTTATTCAAAAAAATGCTGGAACGATTAGAGCCGAAGAGTTTCGTCCCATCAACATGTTGCGCACATTTAAGAAAATTTCAGAACTTGTTGTTAAGCTGTTGAAGTATTTGAATAACTTTTTTTTTTTGATACCACAACAATCAGGATATCGAGAAGGTCATTCTTGTGAAACTGCGTTGAATTTGGTGTTAGCGAAGTGGAAAGACAGCTTGGAGCGTAAAGATACGACTGTTGCTTTTGTTTGGATCTGAAACACACTTTTGAAACAATGTCTATGCCCTTATTGTGAAGTACAATCTAGCGCTTTGGAATTTTGAGTACTGCTTATAAATGGTTTGAAAGCTATTTGTGTGACAAGACTCAACGGACTGTTTTTAATGATTCTGTTTCCAGTCCCGTGGGGAATAACCTTGGAGTGCCCCAGGGAAGTGTATTAGAGCCTCTTTTATTTATTATGTATATAAACGAGATGCGACGTGTTTTACGATTTTGCGGCATTAATCTTTTTGCAGATGTTACTGTGTTATTCATTGCAGCTAAGGATTTAGAAGTTGCCGTCTCACACTTGAATGTAGATTTGCGATCTCTAAGTAGATGGTTGAAGTGTAAGCAGTTGAATGCAAGTAAAACTAAATTTATGGTAATTTAGCCGAACCGAGTAAATGATAACGTCTCTGTTGTAATTTATGATGAAATTATTGATCGCGTTCGGGAGAATAAATATCTTGGCGTGATTATTGATGATAAACTTAAGGTCAACTTTCACATTGACAATGTCATACAGAAAATATCCAAGAAGTGTGGAATTCTATGTCGATTGAAAAACGATTTAACTATTGCTAGTAAAATAAAGCTAGACAAATCCATCATCTCTCCTCATCTAGACGTTTGCCCTTCTATTTTAGTTTTTGACCAATGCAACACAAATATCCAGATAATCGCGCTTGCAGAATAAAATAATGCGTTTGATTTTGAGATGTAATGGATTCACTTCCTCAACTTTGATGCTGGACGCCTTACAATGGTTGTCGGTGAAGCAAAGAATTGTATATTTGACAATGGTGTTCATTTTTAAAGTAGTTAACGGTTTGCTGCCTCGATATTTGTGAGAACGAATTGAAAGAGGAAGTGACTTCCATAGATATAATACTAGAAACTACTCCACCTTTCGAATACTCGCGCGTTGTACTTTGTACCACAGTGTGAATTTTCCATTGCCATTTTGCTGCCGAGCTGCCAATCGATCTAAAACCAACGGGTATTCCTCAAAAAACTTGCAAAAAATGTAGAAAATAGAGAAAACGAAAATGGAAACCACGTAACAGTAGTTCCGATTTTTCTCACTACACGGTGCTAGCATACACGTGCAATTCTAGCATATACAATAGCTCGACATCTTGACCAGCTAGAAAGTTACTGTCTTCGGCAGACTTAAAGGGTGTCCCACATCAAATAGCATCACGGAAAAAAACGCTGTAGAAAATTACCGATTGGGTATTTTCTCTTGAAAATTTGGGTAGAAGTAGTTTATAGTGCTGTATTTTTCGCTGTCAGTTTTTCGAAAGTTGAAAAAAATGGCGTCACCCGAAAAGCAACATCGCGAATTGATTTTGCGCAAGCACCTGGAACATTCTCAACTCTCTCATCGCGACATCGGAAAAACAGCTCGGAATCGTGCAGTTAACGGTGCGTCGTGTGAGTAAACGTTACTACGAAACTCTGAGCATCAAACGGAAGGAGAAATGCGGTCAGAATGGATGTTCTATTATTGATCAGGATCACAACCGTGTCGTGAAAGCGTTCAAGCGGAATCCCAATGCTTCGGTCAGGGATGTGGCCAAAAAGTTGAGTCTGTCCAAGTCTTTCGTTCAGAGAGCCAAGGACCGGGAGGGACTGCATACGTACAAAATGCAGAAGGCTCCAAATCGTGACAAACGGCAAAATACGGTGGGAAAGTCACGGGCCCGGAAACTGTACACTCAGATGCTGATGAAGCCTCGAAGCTTCCGGGGCTACTGTTCTTCACCGCCCAGCACAAGTTTGATGTTCCGGAGGAAGTAAGAAAGCAGAAACTTTCAAAGTTTGCCAAGAAATACATGATTTGGCAAGCGATCTGCTCATGTGGCAAACGCAGTGCGCCGTTCGTGACTACCGAGACTGTGAACGGAGAGATCTACCTCAAGGAGTGTCTACAGAAGCGTCTGCTTTTTCTGTTGCAGCACCACGAGGGCCCTACGCTCTTCTGGGCGGATCTTGCTTCGTGCCACTATTCAAGATGTTGTCCTGGAGTGGTACGAAGCCAACGGGGTTACTTTCGTACCAAGGACATGAACCCCTCAACGCACCGGAACTAAGGTCCATCGAAAAATACTGGGCTTTTATGAAGCAGGCACTACGGAAACATCCCAAGGAGGTCAAATCTGAGGAAGACTTGAAGAAAAAGTGAGTTTCCGTACAGAAGAAGCTGCAGTCAGATGTTGTACAGAACCTAATGAGTGGAGTTACGCGGAAGGGGCGAGCGTACGGTTATGGTATTGAAGTTGAATGAAATAAATATGCCAAAAGCTTACTAATGGGTTATATTTTATTGTCTGAAAGTTTGAAAAGGATCGGTCAATTAGGTAATTTTCTACATCGTTTTTTTTCGTGATGGCATTTGATGTGGGACACCCTTTATTCAGGGGGTCA